CGAATAAGCTCTTATCCGCCGCAGCCTCTTCGCTTTCGAGGACGATTTAAACGTCTGCCGCATATATCCCGTAGCTTTAAATTCACGTTGAGATCGTTGCGTGACGCGTTATCGTAATGATGAACAGCCGACGGAGTTTGTTCGCTCGGCCAGAACCTCTACTAGATTTCATTTTGGTTTGTCCAAAATCGGCTTGTTATCCGATTGAAAATTCAATGTCGCCCGATAGCGAAACAGAAACTCGACAGATCGTCGCCTATAGATCGAACGAACGAAATTTACGTGAATTGAATCTTGCCTGTGGCTTGCGTTAACCCACGATCGTTAATACGCTGTTATTTAGAGTATAGGTCGCGGTGTATTTGCGCTGGAAATAATTTCGTTGTTTCGAGTAGAAAAATTTGCTGAAGAAAAAAAAACAAAACAAAACAAAACAAATGAGAAGGAACGCAGGCTCGAAGCGGCGAAGTATTTTCCAAGATTTACATAAAACGCGGGGCAATTAATCAAACGTTGACGCGCGTTTCAACATTTACGCGCTGCATGTCCCATTTTCATCGTTTTCGGCATTCACCGCCGAACACCGAAATGCGAAAATGAGGATTTACAGCATACACTCGGAATTACTCGAGCACACGCGCGAAAAATTTAATATCAAATTTATCGCCGAACAGTGCGCGCCCGACGCGGAATTATCCTTGGACCCAGAACTTGTACAGACGCTGAAAATTACGACAGGCAGAAACTTATCGTTCGCGTTTCCTCGTTACGTCCCCCCGGGGGGTGGGGGGGAGGGGGGACGGTGTATTCGTTTAACATTCTCCTGTCGCACGTCGATACGTTTCTATAACGTCTCTCTGTCCTTTACGACGCAATCTCGAGCAACGTGCGATTTTCAAAACTTAAACGAAGCAATCGCGCGGTTATTACGGCCTCTTCTTTCGCGTGGTTGCAAACATTTTACAAGTTGCTCGTGTTCTTGTCGAGGATGAAAAAAAAGAAAAAAAGAAGAAATACATGTATATATATATATATATATATATATATATATAACGATACGCAGAGAAATAATCGAAAACGGAAGCTTATATTCAATAATTACGGTCGTTCGTTATTCTACCATTTCTCAACGAAAGAAGCTCCCCGATAACGTAGCAACCAATTCCATTTTCGTTTCAAACCGAACGGACGTTATTTGTGAATAGCCGCGTCCGTTTAATTATCGCGTTGTTATCGACCGTTGGCGAGAGAGATGAAACGATGTGTAGTTTACGATTTTCCATTTATAACGTGAGAGGGAGAGAGAGAGAGAGAGA